TTCAGATATTACAACCTATGGTCATCGATTATCTTTCGCAACATTTGTATATATTTGATATTTCATACTATAGTTTTGATTTTGTTTTTTAAAATAATATTTAGATTACAACTTGTTTTCGAACATCCTGGAAAATATGAAAATGTCGTCTTCATTACCAAAAATCCTCGAAACAGGAATAAATGTTTTTTATAAGTAACTCTCTGATCATAACAATTAAAACATATTATGAAAAATCAACTATATACAAATGTGGCGAAAGATAATCGATGACTATAGGTTGTAATATCTGAATGATTTGTTTGATATTAATTTGATTTTTTTACGATCCAAGTCGTATGTTCCAACTTCCTCAATTTGTATCGGCGATACGATCTTCGGTATGTGACGTCTTTATTAATTTTCTCCTTATAGACGCAACAGATAGAAGTAAGATCGGTAGCGATCAAAAGCGCTTATTTATCGCATTAAGCCTATACCCTCTTTCATTTTTCCCGAACACTCCCTTTAAGCTAGAAACCCGACGATATTTTCCACATTATTCATTAGATTAAAGGGACTGTAAAGGAAAAATGAAAAGTGGAATAGGCTGAAATCTGAGAATCTCATGAGTTGAACGATACCTATCTATATGATGTTCCTGTCTCGAGAAATTGACATAAAACTGTGTCAAAATTATACCAAAACGTATATATGTAAAATATACGTCCGTATTATGTGACCAGAACTCCCTCCAATGGGCTGCAGTATACTAGTCACGTGATACAGACGGAGACACGTGACAATAATACTTTACTGCCATTGGTTGGAGTTCTGGTCACGTGATCCGTGCGTATAAAAATATCAATTATATCTATTAAAAATGAAAATTTATTAAATTCAAATAATAATAGAAGCAAACCTGAGATTCTCAGGCTTCTATGTCGTTATCAGATTGGTTGCGTATTTGTTGAATATTATCTGTTTGATACTACAACTTTTATACAAAATATTACATATATACGCTTTGGTATAATATTGACACCGTTTTATAGCAATTTCTCGAGACAGGAATATCATAATCAACCTCTGAGATTCTCAGGTTTCAGACTTTTCATTTTTCCTTTACAGTCCCTTTCAGGTTTTAATTGGCACCGCTGGGAAACAGGAATGTCCCTCTTTAAATGGAAGGTTCACTTAAAATTACAACGACAATGATATGCAATGATATCTAGACATTAAACAACTCTAAAAGTTAGCCATTAAAATTTTAGACAGCCTTGACTTTAGAGTGTCACACCGGTTTAAACTTTGGTTTTTCCTCCCCAACTCACTTCAACTTTTTTATAGCTCTAGACATTTGCATTTTCAAATTGCAAAGCGCGTGTTTCTGACTTCAGTTGTAGAGGAGTAATTGACAAAATACTGCTCAATTTTTGCTTGAGAGTGGGACCATCTTGGTTTGAAGTGGATGTAAAATCAAAGATAGTTGTGTTGCTTTAAATATTCATTTTTAATAATATATCTCAACTCTCTATTTTAAAAACAGTATTTTCCAAGAAGAAAATGTTTTGCAAGATAGATTTTATAATATGATAAATTACATTTGTATATTATTGTGACTTCACTTTAGAAGCTTCTTACGAAAATATTTATTTTTGTTGAAATATATTCATATTTGATGCACTCCAGACATATGATGACAGCAAATACATTCAAAAGGAATCGATTCATACAATTCTCTGTTATGCGAATTTAGATATTTTGGACATGCATTTGCATTCGTATTTTGGGGCCTCCGTCACGGGAAAATATTAATTTTTGGTGACAGTAATGTATGAAAAACAAAAAAGAAATCAATTCATTGTAAAAATAAAAAAGTGATTTAATAAAAATAAAAATAATGTTTTTTTTTAACAATCACTAGATCATTATTTTTTCCTCTTAGATGATTTTAATATAGAAATCTGCAAAAATATTGTTTTTTAAACTTTTCTGTTAAAGTTCATAAAAAATCTCTCTCTTATATATATACAGGGTGAGCGTAATATACAGGGTGAGTCAAAAAAAAGTGTGATTTACTGCGCCTGGTACAAAAGTGTACCTTTTTTCGTGCAACTCTCCTGTATGGAAATTTTTCAATATTTTTTTCATTTTTTTTTCATTTTTTTTGGTACTCCAATTGCCAAAAAAAAATCCGCGAACTTTTTTTTCTCTCAAAATCAAAAGTTTAGAAAAGCAAAAATGTGTATATAAATTATTTCTATCGAAGTCTAAAATTTTATACAGATTGAATCACAGAATCACAGAAAATTGGCAAAATTGTAACAAAGAAAATTCGCAATTTTCACTCCTGTTCTAATTTTAAGGAAAATTTGTTTTTCAATGTTTCTTCATGTTTCAACTGAACAGCGTATATTTTTTAACTTTTGATTATACTAAGAAGAAAGGAACTAGAGAATTCAAACTTTTTCTTAAAAATTAGACCAAAACTGAAAATTTCGAATTTTCTTTCTTAGATTAAATACATATTGGGAAAACTGGATTGAACCAAAGTTTAGCTTTTATACAGATTCACGATTGAAAGTTTTCCATATTCCAAACCAAACTTTCCTTCGAGATATTCCAAACCAAACTTTTCTCCTAGATATTCCAAACCAAACTTTCCTCCTAGATATTCCAAACCAAACTTAGATATTCCAAACCAAACTTTTCTCCTAGATCATAGAGTAATAAAACGAAGAGGTGAAGCTTAGCTTGTGATGTACACAACTGACCACTCTATCAATTAATTAATTACTCTATGTCCTAGATATTACAAACCAAACTTTTTTCCTAGATTTTCTGAACAAAACTTTCCACCTATATTTTTATTAAACCAAACTACCTCAATTGTTTACCAAACCAAACTACTCCAAATCAAACTATCTACAAGGTTTAGCAAAGCAAACTTATCAAGATTTATCTAACCAAACTACCAAACCAAACCAAACCACCCCAAATGTTTACCAAACCATATTTCCCCGTGGTTTACCAACCGACTTTTCTAAAGATTTTGACAGGAAGTTATAATGTAAGGTATATTTTCTTTCATTTCTGTAATTTTCTAAATTCCCTATTGACACAAATCTGGATCAAGCTCATAATATTGATTTAATGATGTTAAGTGTAGCAAACATTTCCAAAGGTTCTTCTTATTAATTAAAAATGGAGTTTTAGCCAACACTGAAGATTTGAATTTTGATGAAACAATTCTAATATTTTGATGATATTTTCCCGCTTGGTAGTTATGCTCAAAGAGACTGCAGGCTTAATTTCTTAATTTCATTTTCGAAATGATTTGTTCGATTCACAACGGTGCGATTCACAAGTCTGATTTACAACGGTCCGATTCACAATGGTCCAATTCACAAAGGTCCGATTCACAACGGTCCAATTCACAACAGTCCGATTCACAATGGTCCAATTCATAGCAGTCCGATTCACAACAGTCCAATTCACAATGGTCCGATTCACAACGGTCCGATTCACAACGATCCGATTGACAACAGTCCGATTCACAACGGTCCGATTCACAACGGTCCGATTCACAACAGTCCAATTCACANTAGGCGTAAGTTTAATTTAGAACAGTTTGTATTTAGGAAATGTTGCAACACCTAACATTTTGTTTTTAAAATCATTAACTATCAAAACATTAAAGGATTTAAGATCGAACAGAATTTTAAGAATATCTCCCAAATTAATTCTGTAATTAAACAATATTAACTTGAAAATTATATTAAAATAAATGAAATTGTCCCTCAGTATGAGAGTATAGATATTAGATAGTGGCTTTGATTTAGGCCTGGTTATATGAGAGAGAGAATGAAGGGGGAGGGAACAAGTGTTCATTACAATATTGTATGCTGCAAGCAACGTAACTGGAGTATTATTAGTTATATACTAGCCTTTCTCCTTTTTACAGTATTTCAGTTTTAAAAAACTTCAGGGGACTGCAATCGTAATATCAAGAGAGTGTGACCCTCATGAGATTGATTTACAATGGTACCCTTGCGCCTTTCTTGCTTCAGACACGTTTGTCAAGGTAGAAATACGACCAGGTTACTAGGGTATTGTTGTGAATCATGCATGCCTTTTTTCATGAAGGTTTACTCATAATTGCGATAAAAGTCCCTTTACAGGAAAAGTAACTTTTAGTGCTGTATCATTTAATGGTTGCAAATAACGATTAATAATGATATAATACGTTAATTCAGGATTGAATTATGCAACGGAGACGTTTTCGTTTTCTATTAGAATATAATTTTGATGCCATTTTCGGTAAAGAAATCCACAAGTCCTTTTTATTACTTTTTCAAATTTAAAAGTTTTCACCAAAATATAAGTTATTTTCAGAATTGTAAACAAGTAAAAGCTAAAATTTCACTCACGCTAAACTTTTTAAATCTCTAAAATTTTATAATTAAAACCTTAAAACTACAACAAATCATTATTATAATGGTTAATTTGTAAAAATGAGAAATTAATCTAATGACAAGTGAACATATATGGCAGATTAATCAAACTGACAGATTATTAAAAATGGTGGATTAATCAAAATAATGGATTGATCAAAATTGCGGATTATTTGAGATGGTGGATTAATCAAAATGGTGAATTATAAAGATGGTGGATTAACCAAAATGGTGCAGTATACAGATGGTGGATTAATCAAACTGACAGATTATTCAAAATGGTGTATTAATCAAAATAGTGGATTACTCAAAATGGTCGATTATAAAGATGATGGATTAATCAAAATGGTGGGTTATTCAAAATAGTGGATTACTCAAAATGGTGGATTAATCAAAATGGTGGGTTTTTGAAGTTGGTGGATTTATCAAAATGGTGGATTATTCAAAATGGTGGATAATTCAAAATGGTGGGTAATTAAAAATGGTGGATTATTAAAATTGGTGGATTAAACAAAATGGTGAATTTATTAAATGAAGAATTTATAAAATGTCGACTTCAGATAAAATGTCTAGATCTAAATATGATCTTGTCCCGACATATGATCCGTATACTGGCCTCACCTCAGACCAGGCAGATATGAAGGCTTTAAACGATTCTGCAAGATATTATATTTCAAGCAGTTTAACTGAACAATTTCGACCAGTTATACAAGAGTTTGATATTTTTTGCATAACACTAGAGCACAACATATTTTTACGATACAGAAATAAACAGAAAACTTTAAAATAGGAAGACAACTTTTAGACTCAAGTTGTAACTTTAAAAAGTCCAAAGAGAATGGGACACAGCATATGTCAGTCCCATTTCACTTAATCAATGATGCATAATAAGTGTATAGTAAAGATTTTTGCTTTGTAAACAACATCAAATACAAAAAAGTTCTGATATAAAGTACACTAAATATAAATTCTATTTCAGAGTTTTCTGTTTATCACAGTAAAATAAGAAAAAAGTAATTCAAGCACTCCACTTTTAAACACGATTTGGACTAATTTTTCCGAGGGAACAGATTTTTGAGTTTAAACGATTACTGGACAATTTGGTTATAAAAAAATGGTGTTGTGAAAACAAAATGGCAACCGTTAAAAACAAAATGGCCGCCTTTATAAACAAAATGGTGGAAGGATGAAATAAAAATTCCAACAATGTTCAGAACCTATTCAGACGAAGACTTAAGGTATATAACGTAATAAAAATACATTTTTCACACAAAAAAAGAGAATTCAGTTATATAATAGCTGAAGGGCACGGCGTTGCCCGTGAAATTTTTTTTTAATTTCGAATTTTTTTAGCCTATGACACCCCCCGGCCACACATGAGTGTCCACAAAAAATTTCAGCTCAATCGGTCAAGCCGTTTGGCCGGCTATACGCAACATATACATATATATACGAATGTCTTGTTTTATCATAAAGAAAATTATCACTTTACTATATTTAATAAATAGGAAAAGGTTATTAAAACTTTTTCAATAAATTAATAAGCTACACTCATTAAAAAATATTTAGTTGACTGAATGTTGTATCCCAATTTTAAGTAATATTATTTTATATAAATATTATTGTTATCATTATTGTTATTATAATTACTATTTTAACTAATATCAACAAATTATTTACAATTCTAAAAACTGTATTTGCTTCTCTTAATTTTCTTTATATGTATTTATCCGATTTTGTATTCTACTTAGAGAATTATTTTTATGATTATTTCTTAGTATTTTTTCCTTTACTTTTAAGCCTTACTTGCTTTTAATTCTTTTAATAGATCTTTCTGTAAAATGTTGAAGCTTTTTCGCGGGGTACCCGGGTAGGGAACCAATCTAAATTTTACAGCATGGGGCTATAATATACAGCTGATTTAACTGTATTGCACGTCAATAATAAAATTCACAATGAAGTTAGTATCATAATGATATAGTACACAATTGTTTCATATAAGTGTTCAAAGCTCACATCAATGTTTTTGAAGTCACTTTTATAGAAGACCACAGTTAAAAACAACAATTTTTAAAAAGAAAAATCATTAAAACCTCATTCATAAAAAAGAATAATCTTATTCATAAAATTTACTTCCCTAAAGCCACAATTTTAATCACTTTTGAATAATTAGTTTTAAGACTAAGCTGGCATTAAGAGACTAAATTAAATCACAATCTAAACTCTACAGGAAGCAAAATTAAATTTTTGAATCATGCGCGCCCGTTCTAAAAGGAATGAAAATTACATGATTTGACTCTCACCTGTATTTTGTTTTTATTTGTAACCAGCATAATACGAAATAGTAAGATANATAGTGTTTAAGGCTATCCTCTTAACAGTTTTAAACTAAAATATATAGATTATACATGTATATCTAAATATAATTATTTGATTACTAAATTATTTGATTATTTGTGTATTCGATAATTTAATTATTAGGTTATTTAGTTATAAAATTTGATTTTAGTTTTTAACCATTCTTTATTTTGAACTTTAGCATGTGTGAGTAATCATCCTAAATATAGTTGTTATGACGTGATGACTATAAGGGCATTAATACATTCTCACCCTAATCAAATTTGTTTTTTTGCTCCATCTTAAATTTTGATGTCATTACATCAGACTACATTTGACTTTTAACAAATCAACATTAAAGGGATTGTAAGCTTAATTTCAAGTGGATTTTTATTTAATTTTTAATTTATTTTCAACATCAACAGGGGCACCTTGATCAGGACGAGACGATTTCGTCGCGTAACACATGTAAAAAGAGCCTCCCCGATTTACAACAGTATCTAATAAACCTTTGATTGGTCAAGGGTGTTACCCTTGACCAATCAAAGGTTTTTTCCTTATTTATCTACAGAAACACTTGTAATTTTTTAACATTCATATTGCAGACTGTTTATATTTAAGAAATTTTAATTTTTTTGTCTAAAATTGACATAATATAAATATTCACATTCGAATATTTATAGAACGGCTATGGACATTAAATACTCTAGGGTTTTCAAAAGATAAAAGTGACGTCATCATCCGTACGTTTAGACTCGTTACCTAAACTCCAATTTTACAGCGCTTTACACAACATTTAAGAGACATATACACTGAGTTCTCTCTCCTCAATGATAGTTTAAATTTTAAAGGCTGCCGTTTTTAATCGGTGTTATGTCTCTCTTTAAATGAAAGGTTACTTAAAATTACGCAAACAATACAATCCCTTTAAAAAGTTTTGTTCATTCTGGAAGAGTAAAAATTACTATAATAGAAAATCTTTGTGTTAAATTCTATATAGTCTTCATGCAAATTCGAATCATTTTTACAACAAGTAAAAGAGTTACAAAGTGAAAATTTGACTTATGTTATAAAGGCAAAATGGAATATGCACATTACATGTACACAAAACCTGTACAAACTGTACAACAGATAGAAGAGGATAAAAGGTGTACTGCTTAATTTTATATCCAGGGTTCAATCCTTGCATGATCTGAACTGCAGTACGCAGCAATTTCTGGTACTTCTCGGTCTAGTGTAATAATTGACTTACAGATAATTTTTTTCTCTGAAATTGTTTGGGACTTATATTTCTAAATCTTATCATTTGTCAATATCTTATAATTGGATAATTCTTGAAAAAGTGATTTCATTGCAAAGTTAAGAGTGGACACAAAGAAATCTATTGAACAAAATCTGAAAAAAAAGTTGAAAATAATAGTTCATGAACTATAGAATAAAATGAAACATTCCATGATTCATTCTGATGAAAAATGTGCACTCGCCATCAAGTCAAAGCGCTATTTTCATAATATCCCAGCTGACAGCAAATCCATAGAATTTGCAGTATCACAAAAGTAATCTCAGCTATAGATCATCCGGTTCAACAAAAATGTTGGCAAGAATTCTTTATATATTCTAAAAAAATGACTTGACGAAGGTTAAGATACCAACTCAAATCATTAAATACTAATTCTTGATAAGCTAAATTTGATTTTAGTAAAAAAAAAATCAGTTTTGATCACATTCCATATTTTGTGGTTTATTGCAAGCTTTATTTTTCAAGAAGTTTTGGAATCTTTTAAACGATCTTAACTTAGTCTCTCTTATGATAAAATTTAAATTTTCTTTTACTTTTTTTCTGAAGGAACCTTTTTTTACATTTTTGAATGATAGGCGTTGAACTGAAACCATCTCTGTTTTATTTCCAACCTGGATACGGACGGTTCTCAGTGAACGAGATATTATTCTGTATAATTCTTAATGATTTGATCATTTCGGAAGGCAGACTCTGCATGAAGGAATCAAATGTGGGGTTTTCCGTCCAAAACAACGGAAGTTTGATGGAATTATGGGTGACATACTTGGCAGGGGCTGTTGTTTGCTCCGTCATGATGCCGTAGTATATATATCAGGATAAACTGGCCAGAATTAAATCACTGAAGTCAGGGTCTCCAATATAGAAGTCGTTTTTAATAAAAAGATATATATACTTTGTCTTTATACATTTACTTGAAGACAGAAACATAAAACAGGCTTCTAATGGCACGAGTTAAAACGTACTGTATGAACTGATTTGATTACAAGAAAAATGGAGAAATTAGCAAAATTAAAAATTTTTCAAGTCAGCAAGACAAAATTATCTTCCACATTTTGATCACATATTCAGGTTTCAATGTTACCGTTGTAAATCGGACATTGCTATAAATATATGGAGGGTCACATGCAATTACACCTACTGCATTTCTGTTAAGGCTAATTGGAAACTGGTTTATTCTCAATGAGTAAACAATGATTCACCAAGACCGGCCTTTCTGTCATGCGCAAAAATATCCTTGTTATTTTTTTATAAAACTAGTTCCGATGTGTCCTATTATGTACGTCACAGTAAATGTTTATGCAAACCCCATTCTCGCTTTCTGACAGTTTTTAAGGTTTCAGGTTTTAAAATTTCATTCAATTCATCAGATATATAAAGTATCATTACTGCTACTTCTAAAAAACTAAGAATTTAATTTCTTCCAACTTTACGGAAATTCTTTAAAATAGTTTTTTTTCACAATTTAACCTATCCTATTTAGGGGAATGCGAATTACTTCTGGCAAAGTTGTTATAAGAAAGGATGATGGAAACCTTATCGGAATCAGTATTGGGGGCGGAGCCCCACTTTGTCCATGTCTATATGTTGTTCAGGTAAAATATAGGAATCAGTATTGGGGGGTAGCCCCATTTTGTCCCTATCTATTTGAAGTTCAGGTAAGATACGGCGTAGTCCCACTTTTCCTCTGTCCATTTCTTTTAATGCAGGGGACATTAGTTCCCAAACTAACACTTGGCCCATTTCTAATACAGAGTGTTCGGTATGGGCACAAATTGAAAGACTAGGGTTTTAGGATCCCAGCACATATCGAGAGTAAAATTCGATAATTAATCAATAACCAACATTATATTAAGAATGACAAGGACAACCATTCCCAATTTAAAAGTATTTTCTGGAATCAAAATGATAAAAGGAGTTTTTTTACATTAAAACCCTTGACTGTTTTCAAGACAATGTCAGGTTTTCCATTTTAGTGCATATCCTGAATTTGAAATATTGTTGCGTTTTCGAGACAAAACTAACTTTCCCGTTTTTAAGTATAATCCTCAATTCAGAACAAGACTCACTTTAATAACTTACAAAATAAATTACTGAAAGTAAAAATTATGTTATGAAGACTAAATTAACAGCTAAATTATTTCTAAAATCTTATTTCCCTATTTTATTTGTTAAATATGAAATAAGAGAATAATGTTGGTTTAATTTCCCGCATTCTAAATAAACAATTTCCCGGATTTCTAGTTAAATCTACATTGTAAGACTACCTGTAACCCTCCTTGTAAAGATGGCAATGCCTGATTCACAACGGAACCCTAGTAACCTTAATCTGATCAACAACGTGGAAGATATTTTCGTTTATCTAGGTTTAAAATGCGTTTATTTCTGACAATTTCTTTATGTTTTCCTCAGTTGATCCGCAATCCACTTGTGTAGAGAAACCACAATTGAAAATAATCAGTGTACAAAATTATAAGAAATATCTAATTCTTGATCAGAAAGGTTTACTAAAATTAAGCGAACAGACCCTTTACATTGATTGATTAGGTGTTTGATAATACACCTGCAGCTCGTGATGGAACTTTGGAGAGTGGAGATGAAATAGTTGGAGTTAATGGCACTAATGTCAAGGTAAGAACATCTATTAAAGGTTTTCCTTCCCTTTAAAAATATCATTCAGATACCGGTTCATGCTTGATTTACTATATACGGGATTTTGTCCAGGGGGGGGGGAAGGACTAAGGAGGGGGCTTAACCTTTTTTGATAGTCCAGGAATATACAGTCATCGTCGCATATATCAATACAATGAAGACAAATTTCAATTGCAACTTTAATCTATATTAAGCTATTAAACAGCATGAATGCGAATAAACATTTAAAATTCGATGATGGTGATGGACCAAACCTCTGTAGAGTAAAAAAAAGTAAATGTTAGTTCCACATTTTATTGAAAATATATTTCGGTCTGGGTTGACCCTCGTCAGTTCTTGAGATTGTTTCTGTCAGGAAGATTAAAAACACGAATAAACATGAAAACAATGAAAAACTGTCGATTGAAAAAGCTTATCTTTGATTACTTTTAAACTTGTAATTCTCAAAAAGCTTGTTAACAATCAAAACTTAAATAAAAAGACGTCTTCAATGTGTTTGATATAATCTACCAGGTCATGACACCTTTACATTTAAATTTTTTATATATTTTAATGTTCACTTTAATTCAACAATAAAAAACTCAAGAATAATATTAAAATTAATTCTGTTTTCAGGGTAAGACTAAAGTAGAGGTGGCGCGAATGATCCAGAATAAATCTGACGAAGTTGTGATTAGTTACAATAAACTTCATGCAGAACCAAAACAAGGTGGGTTAATATTATATTTATATATATAATATACATGATTCCCCTTGGTAGCTATGATCTCAGCGATCCAAAACATCCTTGAATTGCTGATCGTAAAAGATCAACAAAACTCGCCCACTGTTACAATAATTCATATTTGATCAACAAAGATTTTATGGGTACGGTTGTGACTTGGGCATGCTTTGCATGGAGGGTCACTTGATATTTCTAGAAGGTCACTTGATATTTCTCTAGGGTCACTTGATATTTCTAGAGGGTCAGTTGATATTTCTCTAGGGTCACTTGATATTTCTAGAGGGTTACTTGATATTTCTATAGGGTCACTTGATTTTTCTAGAGGGTCAGTTGATATTTCTCTAGGGTCACTTGATTTTTCTAGAGGGTTACTTGATATTTCTAGAGGGTTACTTGATATTTCTATAGGGTCACTTGATTTTTCTAGAGGGGCACTTGATATTTCAACAGGGGCACTTGATATTTCTACAGGGGCACTTGATATTTCTAGAGGGGCACTTGATATTTCTAGAGGGTCACTTGATATTTCTATAGGGGCACTTGATATTTCTAGAGGGGCACTTGATATTTCTAGAGGGGCACTTGATATTTCTAGAGGGGCACTTGATATTTCTATGAGAGGCACATGTTTGTTGATGAGGCACATCCCTTTTTTAATATGAACATTAAACACCCTTGTCCAGTAAATCGATATTAGATTATTTGAAAGTTATCATGGTGACCGGGCATTATAGAACTTTAGTGCTTTCGTTTAACTCTCTGGATGTGAATTCGTTAAAATATGCAGATTCAAGATTCACAGAATATCATACTGTCATGCTCTCAAAACACGTAAATAGAAAAGGTTGTAATTTGTTTTTAATTAGCAGTTAAAGGGACTGTAAGCGTAATTTCAAGTGATCCTCTATGCAAAAAGGGAAATTCCTGTTTACAACGGTTTTATTGTCTAGTACAGATATATGTGTGTGTAAACTTATCGAAACCCGCTGCAAATTCCGGTGTGCGCAGTGCTTAGTTTAGACTATACTATTCGCAGCGGCAACCGGAGTTTGCAACTGAATAAAAACGGGAATTGATAAGTTTACAGACACTTACTCTGAACCTCTGAAGTTTACAGACACTTACTCTGAACCTAACAAACGAGAACAGGTTTTAAGGGTTCTACCCATAGAAATCGGACATTACCCTTTTTGCATGGAGGATCACTTAAATTACGCTTACCGTCCCTTTAAGATTATATATTTACAGAGCTATCCTGTGTAATGATAGCCTAGTAAAGAAGCTGGATGAACTAGAGAGAACTGAAGATATGTACAGAGGACTAGTTAGTCATACTAGACGTGTACTGTTGGGATACTATGATCTTGTCAGAGTATGTAAAGGTATGAGTTATCCACAAAGGATGAGGCTTCTGAGCCCGAAATTTAAATGAGACTCGTTGAACGAAAATCCCAAGTTTCCTTTTCGAGGTCTTAACATTTGTGTAGATTTGATTTAAGAGATTCGAAAAAAATGGAGAATATGAAGAAACAAAATAAAATTATAATTCATAACAAAAATATTCATATCTACAAAACTGTCTGACCCCATCCGTTTATCGTACGCAATACAGTGTACCGTGCTTTTATTGTACTGTCTATATTTTGTACTCGGTACATTGTACTTTATACATTGTACCCTGTACACGGTTTAATTTCCAAATATGAACACTTATTTTTTCCCATAGATGATGCTTCTCTTTACAAACATTGAAATTTTTAAAATTTGAAATGTATTCTTTTTTAAATACTCGAAATATTTTTATTTTTATCTACATTGTTATTAAATTCACCGTGCAAGAAGAAAATGAAGCGAAGTTTTGTTAATTATGATTAAAAGCATCATTTTTATTTCTTAGAACCATTAACTATACTTTTTTAAACAAATATTAAGAGTGGAATTTTTTATTGTTATCATTTTGCATTTTTTACAGTTAATAATAAAAAATATTTTAATCAATTTTTCTCTTTATCTCTAAAATTATATCTTTTCAGAATAGCCGTATAAACTTGATAACTAATGCAAAATCTAGATAAAAATATGTTTTTTTAGAATTGGGTGATGAGTTTTACAAGATTGGAGTGAGAGAACCTCAACCAGCGGCTAACAGAGCCTTCTGTGAGTTTGGAGAATATCATAGGTAACATTTGATCCAATATTTGCACAAACTTTTACAAAGGGTACAACCAAAGGAAACTATTGTAATGTTTACTTTAAATGGAAAACTCCCGTAGAGATTTTTTCCAAAAAGAAACTCCTCGAGCGATTATTTCCAAAGAGAAACTCCTCGAGTGATTATTTCCAAAGAGAAACTCCTCGAGTGATTATTTCCAAAGAGAAACTCCTCGAGTGATTATTTCCAAAGAGAAACTCCGCGAGTGATTATTTCTAAAGAAAAACTCTTGAAATGATTGCTTCCAAAGAGAAACTGCTCAAATGAATAATTTCAAAGCCAGAGAAACTCCTAAATGACTTCAGAAGAGAATTTCCTCACATGAATACTTCCAAAAAAAACCTCAACTCATAACTTTCAAAGTAAAACTCATGAAATAATTGTTTGTAAAGGGAACCCTCCAGAAGGGAAACAATTACCTTGTTGAATTGTTCCACCAGAAAAATAATTTCTAACAAATTTCAAGGCAAATGGAGAAGCTTGGTATTTCTATGCTTCGCCAAACCAAACCCATCCTCTCTGATCTAGGAACATATCTAACAAAGGTAATTATTACAAAAAGAAATCGTATTTCATTTCGTTTTTAATTTTTAAAATCTAGCGAACCTATATTTTTAGAAAAAGAAAAGGTAAAATTATTAACGAACTGTTTTATCGTTTTGAAAAGATCGTCTCGTTGTTTTTTTTTCTACATAGTTAACGAAACTTTAAGTTCGTTTTTAAGAAAAAATTAAAACGATTCATATCCCAGTCAGAGATATAGTGAAATAGTAAATCTGGGGATGGGGTTCTTACTGTTAAGGATTGGCACAGTTTTTAAGATCTGCTTTTAAAAATTTACTTTTCAGAGGCGCCAAAAGAATCGTTTTTTGTTACCCCAACATTATAACCTTGCTAAGTTTACTTTATATATAACATAATGTAAAATAATTACTCTGGACAAAGATATAAACCAAAAGTATTTTTAATGAGATTGGTAAAATCGTGTTGATTTCTCGTTTTAAAATATTGTTTTGGTTTCAATATGTTTAAAGATGGAGAAATGTTTGTACATAATGTATTTAAACCAAACTTATAAAACGCCGGATTTGGCTGTTCGGGTTAAACATTTTAGATTCTTTAGAGAACCTTTCCAAACTAAGGAAATAACCAGTTCAGTTACAATTGCCATAATACTTTTGCCATAAATACATTTGCCATAGATACATTTGCCATAATTACACTTGCCATAAGTTTCTAAATCTTACAAAGCTTTCGCCATAAATACATTTGCCATAAATACATTTGCCATAGACACATTTTCTAAATTTTACAAAGATATATACATCTAACTATTTTTCTATGAATGCTCTAAATTTTTTCAAGAACATTCCCAACTTTAGTTTTCTAACAATGCACTAATACACTAATTTTAAAATCAAAAGTTTTTATATTTTATTATATAACGGCTGACACGTGATGTCATTGAAGTATGATAGTTTTAGATTTTGTTACTGAAAAAACCTTTAAATACTAATATCTATGCAAAGGTATCATATATTTCTGCTGGAATTTAAGCGATAAATCTTCTTTTTCTCTGGTCATAGATATCTTTAAAAAGTAAGACTAATACCAATAAATAGCTAATAGGCTAGTTAGTTAACCATAATATTACCAAAATAAGTGAACGCTCCCTTTAAAATCTAAAAGATAAATGATTCTGCTAAGCAACATGGTTGTCACTTTTCATTTGGCATTGGCTTTAAAATTTATATTTTAAATAAAGTTTTAATATTTAGGCTATACCTGATACCAAGCTGACAATTAAACGATATGCAGATGTAAAATTTGAATACCTCTCATATTGCTTAAAGGTAAAATCTATTCGATATCAACAGTTTTTTTGTGCTTCTCTATTATTATTATTTTTTTTTATTTTGTATGATAATTAGATAACTTGGTGGTTATTCTTTATTAAACATTAACTGAAGTGCCCGGCGTTAATGCCCGTAGAATAAAAAAATGTTTAGCCATAGTTGCCCCAGGGATACCCATGGGTTCCCTCAAAAAATTCATCCAATTTTGTCCAGCAGTTCGATCATATATGTATATGAGCGAAGAGCATTATTATGTAGATTTGTCTGTAAAGTAACTAAATTTCATCAAAATTAAATTTTTTATCAAGAATTCTAAAACTTATTTGTTTACTGAAACAAAAGGATTTTTGTTGATAAAAATTTAAATAAATGGACTATCGAGGTAATTTAACAAGTGATCCTCCATTAAAAAGGTTGCATGTCAGATGCATTATGATACTCATGTGGCCTTCAGTCTGAGCATAATTAATGAAGTTTTTTTGTTTTGAAATTTGATAATTTCCATTTTGTTTTGTGTTCTAAAACAAGTTGCGGATTTCGACAGAAGAGAAAAAATTAAATTTTACTTAATTTCAAGAAAAGCGACGACACCTTCCTAATTTTTGCACAGAAAAAAAGAAAAAGGGGGGGGGTAATACTTGGTATTACTCTGACAAGTCCCTTTAAATTAGGTGAAAGAGTTTGATGATGAAGATTACTCCTACCAGGCCCTGCAGGAACCTCTTTACAGGTTTATCACATAAATCTCACTACCAACCGTGGGTTTCCAGCAAACGAAAACTTTCAAGAAAATTAACTTCGCAAATGGAAGCGAAAAAGAAGCGGAATGCTATGACAACTAAACAAAATATGCGGCAATTTCGGGAAAAAAGCTAAAGGCGAATTTTTTTCTTTCACGAAACAGATTGACTCGAAATTTCGCTGAAAAACTAATTTTCTATTTTTTTCTACGCGCGGAAAGGGGAAAAATTCTAAATTTTCGCGCAATAATTTCCCCATTTAGCTGGAAACCCTACTATACCCATTCATCGTATCTTGTCAGGCTTAATTTGTTTCATAAAATGTGTTAAGGGTCGACTCTAAAAATAGATTATTATAATATCAACAAATTTCTTGAAAATAATACTCTGAAAAAAAACTTATTGTTAACTTTTTTATATTTTTATTCAGATTTTCTCAAAAATTTAATAATTTATTATTTAGTTTTATTTTANAGAGGGTTAATTCAATGCATCTGTTAAATGGAGGGAGGCAAGGTTAGAGGGTTAATTCAATGCATCTGTTAAAGGGAGGGGGGCAAGGTTAGAGGGTTAATTCAATGCATCTGTTAAAGGGAGGGAGGCAAGGTTAGAGGGTTAATTCAATGCATCTGTTAAAGGGAGGGGGGCAAGGTAGAGGGTTAATTCAATGCATCTGTTAAAGGGAGGGGGGCAAGGTAGAGGGTTAATTCAATGTATCTGTTAAATGTATCTGTGTATAGGGTGGAGACAGGAAATTACGAGTACAGACTGATCCTGCGATGTCGAGCTGATGCTAGAAAAAGGTTTCTTTTGGATTTTAGTTTTTACCTTTTTTGGTTTTTGAAACATGATAATAAGTTGATTTCTTGATTTCTTGATTTCTTGATTCTTTTATTGATTTATTAATGAATTGATTTATTAATGAATTGATCAAATGATTTATTGATTTATTGATTAAGGTTTGCGTCTATGCGATCTGATGTGCTGGTAAAACTGGAATTATTAGATAATAAACACGTCCAGGTGAGCTCGATCAAAACAACAACTTTCATGTGATTTTTTCACCATAAAAAGGAAATTAAATTTTGTCAAAGTTTCAAATTCTATTTTACTTTAAACAAATCTGTAAAAAAAGTTTTTTTCAAAATTTGCAAAAAAGAATGATTTTTTAATTTCCTTATCTTGCCCCTAAAAAGGCTGGCCGGGTTTGAATCTATGTAGAAAAAATCCTAAGAGTAATTTTTCAAGGCCATCTCAAAAAAAATGTTGGCTTGAAAATGTAAATATATAAAAACTACATGTACCGAGTACGACAAAAAGTCTAATGTGACAGGAATATTTTAAATCTATAAACTCAACAACTAAAAATTTATGAAGCTCAACCATTTAAAAGTTATGACTTATTTTAGATTTGTCTGAAACACCGACCGGTCTTTTGACCGTTTTTGTAACCCTTCCCTACACTTTCATCCAAAAATAAAATTGATAAAAATCATTAAAATTAGTTTTTCTTAAAAGTCACGAATCTTCAAGATGAGTTAAAAAATGAGGGTGCAAACCCTCTATAAAGAATGAGCACCTTTACAATTCCATTTAAATTTTAAAAGAACAAAGGTTAATAACATCAGGATGCCAAGATATAGAGATTAGAAAGTTTAAGGCAAGTTCTTAGTTACTTTAAAGACGAAATATATAAAATATATGTCATCATATTTTTTATTGTTTATTTTTTCTCCAAATTTTTATTTTTAACAATATGTTAAAAATAAATGAGATGATGGTTGAAGCAATTAAACAGGGTGACGTCATAAAATTATGAAAATATTTTGTTATGATTATACTGCTTAGGATATTGTTCATCAGTTAAGAAGGCTTATGGAATCTTTAACAGAATTTCATATAGGTAAGTGAACCTTTACACTTAGATTATTAATTTACTTGATGAGCACAACAACCTACAGATAAACTTTGCTGATAGTACTAGCCTTTATTATAAACCGACTGTTGTCTTTATGAAATAAAATGTTATGTATAAATGATTTTTGCATGTGTAAATCGGAGAAGTTTAATATCAATGGTTTTTTTTATTTCTTTGACAGGAAAACTGCATATTGAACAGTAGACATACATTTTTTTTATACATTTTATTGGTATTGCTACGTCTAAAAAATATAAAGCAATACATTTTTGTTTACTTTGAGTGTTTATCAAAACTTTCATGGATAAATTTGTGTTGGGAAGTGTTAAAATTAATAAAAAGTGGCAAACTACCCAGGGAACATATTATCCTCGGAACTACCCAGGCAACATATTATCATCAGGGTGGTTTTTCATGTAAGGAGTACCACCATTGGAAACATTGGTGCGCCATTGAGCTAGCTGTTTTGAAAGAAAGAAAACTGTTTTGAAAGAAAAGAAAAAAAATGATTTTTTAAGAAAGAAATCTGTTTTTTGATTAAGTTTAAAGTTTTTTTTTACTAGCACAGATTAAAATATATGTGACATTGTGTGTGACTAATTAAACATATTTTCTCTGTATTACAGCCTGTCATAAGATGTTTGACGGTGTAAAACTGTTCCCTATAGAGGTAGAGCTGGGCAGAAACGCCTTTCAGTACAACACCAGCATCTATACAGATGTAAGTATGTACAAGTACAATGTGTTGTGCCAAAAATCAAAATTAATAAGTTTATCATAAAATGCATGGAAAAATTGAAAATATTGCAGTTTAAAGTGTTTACGATGAAAAAAATAACTTTCAAAGTTTAAACAAAAGATTTGATTCCAAAATTGGTCTGCCATTTCTGAAAAAAAAATATATTTTCCCACATATTTCATAAATTAAAACAACATTAACTGAATCTATGAAGAAAATGAATAAACAGACAACATTTGGGAAATTCTTGAATTAAGAAAATATCATGAAAGGAAACATTAAAATCTTTAAAAGTTCCTTTAAAACAAAATTATTTAAAACTTCAGTCTTGATTCTTCCTCTTTTATAAATCTGTAAACTAATTTTTTAAATAATCTTTGAACTTTAGGAAGATGTAGAAGAAGCTGAAGATGTGCTGGATGATGATATGCTTATCAATGCTGAAGATACCGTTCCAGAATCTGATTCTCTGATTGGATTGAACTTTACTGCTCCTTCTACCCTTTTAGGAACTGATGCACAGAAAACTGACATGCACAATGATAATTTTAATTCAGTTGGAGAACACACTTCAACCCTACTCATGGGAGATAATGAAAACTCTTGTCTTCTTGTGGGTGGAAATACTAATCCCAACCTTCTAATTGGCATGAATAATGATCAGATGTTGGGAGGGAACAGTAATTCCAGTCTCCTGATTAGTGGAGATAAAGATTCGGGTCTCCTGATTTGTGGAAACAAAGATCCTGGTCTTTTGATTGGTAGAGACAAAGATTCGGATCTTCTTATTGGTGGAAACAAAGTTCCAGGTCTTATGATTGGTGGAGACAAAGATTCGGATCTTCTTATTGGTGGAAACAAAGATCCAGGTCTTATGATAGTTGGAAACAATGATTCAAGTCTATTAATTGACAGAAACAATGATTCAGGCCCCCTGACCAATGTCAGCACAAATCCCAGTTTGATGTTTGACCAAACCCTTGGTTCAAGTCAGTTTATTGCTGGAAACTATGATTCAAGTCATGTGGTAAGTGGAGATAATGAATCAAGTCTCCTGATGAGAGGAAACAAAGATGTCAGTCCAATTATTGTTAGTAACACTGATTCAAGTAATGATAACTGCAACATGTTTGTTCCTGAAAATTCTTCTATTAAAGCTAGTCATACAAGCTTAATGAGCGAACAAATCATGTGTGGAGATGATCATCGCTCCCCAGACCCTCCTAAAGAAACTGATCAAAGTTTCTCCTCCAAGCCCGGAAAGGTTATTGCTTCAACAGGAGTAAAAGACAATTCTGAAGATAAAAATTACTCTTCAAGCAACAGAGCTACTAATCAAGAAGAAATAGGTATTTTTCAACTTTATTTATTTATTACTATTGCTGGAGTGCCCCTGGAGGAAATTAGACAATTTGGTCTAGTTGTTTGGCCAGCCCATTAAAATAAGCCATGAGCTTTATTATATGGATGACGTGTCTGCCACCCCTAGGGGCGAGTGGGAATATCCATTGTTTTAGCCCTGCATGATCATGACTGAATCCCCCTGCCTTCTTGATTTTTAAAAAGCTAGACTGGCAATCTTCTACCTCAACAAACCAAATCAATAAAAGCGTCAACCCAACCTAAAATTACATTTAAATACACTAATTTATTTTTCGTAGATGAATGGTGTTTGCCAGATCCAGAACCTTGAACTAAAGGCTTTCAGAACTAATGNAACTGCCAACATTGTCGACTCTAATCCAACTGATTTTTTCACATTCAAAAATTTGCGAATTTTTTTATTTTAAAATTGCGCATTTGTTCATTGGAGTAATGTTAAAAACGGAAATATTTGATATTTTACTGCATGGGGAAATTGGTGTTGGTAAAGATGCTGTTTTACTGCATGGGGAAGTTGCGTTGGGGAAATTAGTGATTGGGAAAGTTAGTGTTGGGGAAGTTGCAGTTGGGGAAATTAGTGACTGGGAAAGTTAGTGTTGGGGAAATTGGTTGTTGGGGAAATTGCTGTTGGGGAAGATGTCTCGGGGAAGTTGTGACTGGGGAAGTTGTGACTGGGGAAGTTGCGCTGGGGATCCAACCTAACCCCTTTCGTAGGACACCCTGTATTTCCAGACAGTTAATTTGTTACTAATTATTATATGTCTACTTTATATACCAGCAAGTTGTTAGTTACTGCTCTTCAATTAATGGTTTAGGGTAATATTACATTTTAACAATTGGCTTATTTTCTTAACAATTTAGTTTTTATGGCGGATAAACCAACAAGATAAACCAATTACAATGTACATATTATAATATTTAAATCAAATGTCAAAGTCTGATGTTTATTATTGGGAAAACTAAATTAATAGTTTGTTGACTAATTATTCCCTACCCTTACCATTTTAAAGCTTATAAACTTTTATTTTATCCTAATCTATGACTTTGCACTGTTCAAACAACTTTATAATTTCTTCAGGTCTTTTTGATTTGATTTGTGTGTACATCGAGGGAGGGGGTGCAGAGCATCCATGAGCCCTGCAAACTGACCTCCGGAGCCTCCTAATTTGCAGAATGCTCTCTAAGCCAAATCCGGCCAAGGCCTCATGCTAAGCCTGCCAGAGTAACCAGCTCTACCTCCACGTCCAGAATCCAATATCCTAAAACAAATATTTGGCTTTACATCCACCAAAAGCCTTTTTTTCGAAAAATCTCTACATGATCACAAAGTTTTTAATGGTACATAAACAATTTGTATTAAAAAGTCTACTTATACTGAGATTTAAACTTCTTATTTTGTTTTTCTAAATTTCACAAAATTTTAAACGGGTGCAGCTTTATATGAAGCTTTATATGAAGAATGTCAATTTTTTTTTATCATTTCACAGTCATGTACCAATCTAATTAGACTACCTCCAATTCACAAAACATAATAGTTTTTGAGAAATACTTAAATTTGTTCTTTTATTGGATTCCATTTTTCAAGTATATCAATTGGCTGGGAGTTAGCTTGGAGGCTATTCTGATAATCAGGAGGCTCCGGTAGTCAGTTTGCAGGGCTCATGGATGCTCTGCACCCCCTCCCTCGTATCACGATTGAATCATTCCTAATTAAAGTCTCCACAAGGCTCTCATTACATTGTTGCATATTTTAAACATACTATAGACATAATCTGCATCACGTCATGATTGTAAAATTATAGGATTGAACAAACATGTTTTCCTACTGTTACTCATTGTTTTATACAGAATCATTTATAGATCAAAACAACTTCAGTGCAGACTTGAGTTGTGTATGAATATGAGCTTATCACAACCTTTTAATCCGTTTATAGTACAGATTTTAACAACAGTCAGACCATGCCCTACTCAGTTAAATGAGACAATCTGCTTAAAAGGAGAGATAAGGTGCCCCGGGGTTCCTGACAAGTCAGGTTGCCCAGTTCCAGCAGTGTGTGTGCCATTTAATAAAACAAGCAAAACTGGTGAGCCATGTGCACCTCAGTGTCCCGTTACATGCCCTGAGGGTCAATATGTTTGTTCTGGTTACCAAGATAGATTTGGTTGTCCTCTCCCTGACACATGCACTCCTAAATATGTCCTCGGTCAAAATGGTTCCAAATGTCCAGGTGTTTGCCCAGTTGTATGCCATGAGGAAGATATGTTTCTCTGTAAAGGAATTGTTAACAAGAATGGCTGTTTTACAAATGATATGTGTTTACCAAAATATATCACTGGACTAAAAGGCACAATTTGTAAGTTACATTGCCCAATTTCATGCCCAAATGGAATGATGAATTGTCCTGGAAGCCCTGGACCAGATGGATGTCCTAAGAGAGATGAATGTGTTCCTTTTTCAAACACAATGGAAAATGGTCTAAAATGCCCAGCATACTGTCCAATCACATGTCCTGAGGAAACAATATTGTGTACGGGTAAGATTAAGCCGGATGGATGCCCATCTTCAGACTTTTGTATTTTTAAGTTCAATTCTGGAAAAAATGGAATGACATGTCCTGGAATTTGTCCCCAAGAATGTTCTGATGACTCTATATCTTGTCCAGACATTCAGGATGAAGATGGCTGTAAAATACCAACTTGTATTCCAAAGCAAATTCCAGGAATTAATGGATCAATTTGCTCTGGCCAGTGCCCTGTTAACTGCCCGCCAGACAGAATGTTTTGTCCCGGAGAATGGGGAACTGATGGATGTTTGACCAAAGCCACTTGTATACCTTGGAAAATTCAGACAGAAGATGGTACCACTTGTCCTACGCATTGCCCAATTGTTTGCCCAGAGGGAAAGAAAGCATGTCCAAGATATGTTGGTCCAGGAAAATGCCCTGAAGTTGATTTGTGCATTCCATCCACAAAAGTAGGTATCAATGGCACATTTTGTAAGAATGAGTGTCCTATTTATTGTAAAGAAGATGAGGTACTCTGTCGAGGACAGGCATTTATTAATGGCTGCCCTGAACCCGATATCTGCATCCCACAGTACACTATTGGGAAGAATGGTAACACCTGTAAATCCCAGTGCCCTCTTTCCTGTGATAGAGGAATGATCAAATGTGACAATGTCCTGGGACCAGACGAATGCTTGTATGATCTATGTGTCCCAGCTGTAACCAAGGGAAAAGATGGGACCATGTCATGCCCTGGACACTGTCCAGTTGGATGTCCTTCTAACATGATGACATGTGCTGGAATAAGAATGAGTAATGGCTGCGTAGGACCAGAATCATGCGTTCCCAAGCTTATTCCAAGATTTAATGGCACAGAATGTCCAGGCTATTGCCAAGTTTATTGCCCGAAAGGAATGAAGCTCTGTGAGGGAAGTTTCAGCCCTGATGGTTGCCAGGGACCTAGTACTTGTATCCCAGAGAGTATGCCTGGAATACGAAGAGGTATTTGTCCTTCTGTTTGTCCAGTCGTTTGTCCAGATAGTCTTCAGGTCTGTCCTCCGCCCACCAATCTTGAAGAGGACTGCCCCCTTCCTGGATATTGTGATATAAACTGTTCTTAATCAACCTAAATCATAAATTATTGTTACAAGGGCAATTAGTTTTATACATATCCTGATTTTGAAACAATTACTCGAATTCATTCAATATCAATTTTCAAGCATTTACGCATTTGCGAGAAATAGTTTATTTCAAATGTGGGAAATTGATAGATATTCTCTTCTTTAACAAATAAAATGGGGAAATTAAGATTTCAAAAATTATTTATAAGCAATTAATTTAGTCTTCATAAGATAATGTTTACTTTATTTGGATTTATTTTGTAAGTTATGAAAGTGAGCTTTGATCTGAAAAGCAGATTATACTTGAAAACGGGAAAGTGGGATTTGTCTCGAAAACGCGACAATGATTCAAATTTAGGATACTAGAAATTCAAGGCGCTTCGCGCCCTTCTTTCTAGGCTTTTAGGGCGCTTCGCACCCATCTTCTATTTTAATTGTGAACATGTTCTTTTGTTTACATTTCAAAACAACGATGAAAAAAATTTTGCGGATTTTTAAAAAAAATTCGCGGATTTTCAAAAATTTAATTTTTTTTACAAAATTAAATCTTTAAAACACAAATTTTAAAAATTTCAATCCGGTTCAGCCGTTTTGACGTTTATTGGATACAAACAAACAGACAGACAGACAGACAAGCCAAATTTATATATAGATGTCCAAAAATGGAAAACCTGACATTGTCTTGAAAACGATCACAGGTTTTATTATAAAAAGAACTCCTTTTATAATTTTGATTTCAGAAAATTGTTTAAATTGGGAATTGTTATCCTCGTCATGCTTAATATAATGTTGTTTATAGTTTATAAATAAATCTATATTACTCTCGATATTGGCCGGGATCCTATAACCCCAGTCTTTTAATTTGTGCCCATTTCTAACACTCAGTGTTGGAAATGGGCTAATTATTAGTTTTTAAACTAATGTTCCCTGTGTTAATGTACCTAAAATGTATCTGCGCTATTTTAAACAGTACATAGCTGAAACTAATGTGTGTAAACCAAAGGTATTTTGGATAGGGGTTTTATCTGTAGCTATATAAACATGATAACGAACATTTTAAAAAAGATTAAAATTTCACTGGCCCTGGGTAGGGTGGTTACTGGTTAGTCGTTGTTAAACCTTGAACTTTTTTTAACGTTCTTATATGTCACAGTAAAAATATTTTCATGTAAACACATTAGCTGCAACCAAAGTGCATCTTTACAATTTTCTTAGTGAGGGCTAATACCAATGCCGGCCAGAACAGGCTAGTCATTTTCAACTCATCAGAATTTTTAAATGATTTCATAATCTTAAGGCCAGATTTATCCTGTACATATATTCTATGCTCTGGATTGTAGAAATGTAAATTACTGAATGTAATAAATTTAGTTGGATATATGTTGTGCGACTTTTATAATAAGTCATTAATGAAAGCAACTAAATTTTGCATTTTGCATTTTGCATTTCATTTTTAATCCTATTCGGGCTGAAGTGGGGTCCCTGGGAATACTCCGTGGGACCCCACTTCCTCTCGTTTTTTTGACATAACAGTTAGGTAAAAAATGTTGAAAATATTTTGCATATTTGAATTCGATTCGTCTTTTTTGTATTTTCAAAAATGTATAATTTGTCGCATTTTGCGCAATTTTTGCTATTGTACATTTTTTGCGTGGTAACTAAAATTCGCAATAAATATTTGGAATTTTGCTAGTTTGAGGGGCATGTGTTGGTTTGAAAAGCCAGAGAATGTGAGCTTCTTGACTCAAATACTTTTTGAGTTATCGCAAAATGGTCAATCATTCTCAATCCTGATAAACACAGAATAGCAAATATATTTATTTATTTATCATTTCACAATCGTTCCATTTTATTACAAACAAATTAAATATATTTACATAATTGTAACATAATTGTACAAAGAAAAAAATTTAAAAGTTAAAAGTTTTGGTAACGCTATTCTAAATTTTGGAAATTCAAATTCTTAATCAAAAATATTTTTTTTCGAAATTTGTTAATTTTATGATTAAAAACGGGAGTTTTAGAATTAAAAACTGATTTTCTGTAATTATAAACAGTGTATCTTGAATTAAAAAAAAATTATTTTACCTTATTAACGATTTTTCTATTTTGACAACAATGTTTTTCACAATTAATGAGAGTATCAATTTCAAATGGCACAGTTAAGTGTTTTCATTAAAAGTTCTGAGAGCTTTCTCATTGTAGGAGAAGCCTTTTAATGTTTTGAACGCAATAAGTTTGTCTAAAAATCATTCATCTAATTTTTCCTTTCCATTTATGGAACTTTTAACATGTTTTTATTAAGATATTTACATCATTGGAAAATAGTTAATGGAGAAATTCACAAAATAAATTTCTAATTTGAAATAACAATTCCTGAAAATCCTTTTTGGGCAAAAATCCTTGATACGTTTTAGAAGTATTGGAATGGTATTATTGGTAGACCAGTTTAAAATTCTTCTCAAGGATGGGTAGTATTGGAATACTTGGGTATTAGTGTGGAGTACTACTCCAGGTATGATAGGCTGGGTAGTAGTGTGGAGTACTACTCCAGGTATGATAGGCTGGGAAGTAGTGTGGAGTACTACTCCATGGAAGGATAGGCTGGGTAGTAGTGTGTAGTACTACTCCATGGAAGGATAGGCTGGGTAGTAGTGTGGAGTACTACTTCAGGTATTATAGACTGGGTAGTAGTGAAATACTAATGCTTGATCTTCTCTTCTCATTAATCTTCAGATTAGTTAAATCTTTATTTGATATCCAGGAAAGTGTCTAAAATTTAGCAAATTAGAAGCCAAGAATTTTGTGTGCAACCAAAGAAAGAACTCTCATTGGTCAGAAACCATCAAGTATATACAAAAAAGAGGATTAAGCAAAAAATCAATTTTCTTTTAACAAACTTCAGATTGATTTAATCTTTATTTTTGATATTCAGGAATGTGTCTAAAATTCAACCAATCAGAGTGTCGTTAGCAGAAACCTTAAAGCCAAGATGATTTAGCAACCAACGAGAGAACTCTCCTAGTTAAGAACCCATCAGGGATATTCAAAGGAGAGGATCAAGCAGAAAATCAAAAGTGTCCACAGTGGATATCGAAATTAAGCAAACGGGATTAAGGATCTCAAACACAAGAGCTTAGGTTTGATAAGTTGTTCAGAATTGAAGTATACACTACTCCATACTCGAGTCAGATCCAGCACGTATATTTACTCCTCTCAGATACAAGTTTATCTCCTCTCCACAGATCTGGTATATCTCCTCCTAAACAGATCCATGGTATTTCTCCTACTAAACCGATTTTATCTCCTCCTAAATAGATGTGGTATTATGTATATCTCCTCCTAAACAGATCTGGTATATCTCCTCCTAAACAGATCTAGTATATCTGCTACTAAACAGATCTGGTATATCTCCTCCAAAACAGATCTGGTATATCTCCTACAAAACAGATCTGGTATATCTCCTACTAAACAGATCTGGTATATCTCCTCCTAAACAGATCTGGTATATCTCCTACTAAACAGATCTGGTATATCTCCTCCTAAATATATCTAATATCTCACCCAGGACTAACAATGGACGAGCTTCGCCTTTTGTTTCTTCTATTTTAACTCAATCGAGGTTTGGTCTAAAATTCAACTATCTTTAAACTTATGGAGTTTTTAGATCTTTTTATTCAAACGCCAACAAAGCAGTAAAAAAGCAAATTACGTAGAATAGGTTTAAGTGTGATAGAAAGTTACGGTTTGCTTGGCTAGGACCAAACTGTAGGAATTAAGTCCCCAATTAAGGATTTAATTATTTAAAAATTTAAAATATTTGATAAAAAACCTGCATTTTGCGATCTATACCGAGTGCTGAAGTAGACCTTCTTCTAGTACTGAAACAAAATTTCTTTTATTAGTTTCCAAGTCACCACTTAATTCTTTTTTAGTTTCCAAGTCATCACTTAATTCTTTTTTAGTTTCCAAGTCATTGCTTAATTCTTTTTTAGTTTCCAAGTCATTGCTTAATTCTTTTTCAGTTTCCAAGTCATCTCTTAATTCAACACAATAAACTGTTCCAAGTCATCACTTAATTCAACACAATAAACTGTTCCAAGTCATCACTTTATTCAACATAATAAACTGTAAGTGTAACTGATAATTGATTAAGCTAAAATATGTCCAGATATTTAAAAACTTTAAAATATTTATTTATTATAATTGTAAATTACAACATCCCTGTTAGGTGACATATCTCTGAGGTTTAAAGGGACTGTTTAGATGTAATTTAAGGAACGATACCGACTGAAAAACGCTGTCTGATCAAGAATGCCTAAGATGTCCATAATCTTTTCTTTTTTCCAATTGTAATTTCTCTGTAAAGTAACTGGCAGATTTTTGCTTCAGAAACATTAGAGGAAATTTAGAATTAAAGACGACTCCAGCTAGAATTAAAGACGACTCCAGCTAGAATTAAAGACGACTCCAGCTAGAATTAAAGACGACTCCAGCTAGAATTTAAGACGACTCCAGCTAGAATTAAAGACGACTCCAGCTAGAAAAACGATGATGTCATCTTCTTCACATTTATGCTTAAATACATACTGAAAGGGTACCGTTGTTAATCGGAAATATCACTTGAAATTACAACAAACAACCTCTATAATGAAATGAATGACGACCTACCGTGCATAAATTTCCTGGATAACTTTTGGAGTCTCCGGGGTCTTATCCTCGGCCCTAAACATCATATATATATACAGTATCTTATAACCCTATCACGATTAAGGTGAAGGGGTGTTATTTCCTAGCCCGCCCCCTGTAAATCTTTATTATACAAAAATAGCCAATTTGGGAAAGGGTTAAAGAAAATAATATCTAAACAACTTTGAGAAAAAAATCTATATAACTTTAGTAGAACGAATTTGACTACAGTGATAACCAGAACACTCTGCAATAGAAAGACGGCTGAAGAGCAATACTTAGATGTATTTGATGTTGTTACAAAGCAAATAGTTGTAAAAGTGTTACCTATTCTTATGATTAGCAACCTTTTATAAAATTGCTGATAGGAATCGCAATTTGACTATTTTTAATGTTTAAGAGAAATAAACGAAGTACGACAATAAATCATATAGTTTCTGATGAGTTTTTGAATAAAAGATTGTACAAAGAAGATTCCAGTAGCTTTGGCTCGCCCAAAAGCAAATAATGCAGGATTCAATGGTTAAACAAAAACAGTTTTGAGGCCTCTATTCTGTTATAATAGTTTAATCAATAAGCCCTGCATTAAAGGCTGCCACGCATTTTATGGCGGACAAAGTATTTCGGAATAAGTTTTAATTTAAGGTTTCTTTGTTATGAACCAATTTCTATGTTTCACTTTTTGTTCTCAAGTATATACTATTCAATTATTTAATCCGGAAGGTTAGAACTTTTAAATGTGTAACTTTAATCCTACTCAGATATTGTTCCTCTCCGTTTTAAGAGAATTATAATCCTTCTTAACTACTATATCTATATATATTATAAACACTGAGGTTTTCGTTTAGCTATGTATTTCAGTCCAAGGGAAAAATTTTGACAATATTAATCATATAAATGATTAGTTAAAACGAAAATATAATTACGAATATAGAACTTAATATATAATGATATTTGAATAAAAGTATAAACAATCTGATTTTACAAAATATATATATATCTATCTTTACTTAATACTATTGGATTTCAACCTCTATGAATCAGTTTAGGACGAATAGATAAATGCGAATTACGGATATTGACAAAACAAATATTTACAAATAAAATGATTTATTACCTAGATTTTCCAATTTGTTTCTTCAAAGATACACGTCAAAAATCACTGGGTCATTTTACGATAAATACAGATCTGAGAGCAAAGATCTAGGATTCAAATCCAACTAACTAACCCGAGTCAGAGTCTGTCCTGGCTTTTTATAGTAAACCATGATAGATTGTTCTAGAACATTCTCGAAGCTGTTGCACTTGTTTTTTTTGGCGCTGCTTGATACTTTATTCTAGAACTTTCTTGAGAAAAAGTTCTCTGACTTACGTATTCTTTGCGTGCATCTTTTCTTCTAGCTGATTCTAGAAGTTTTAGATGTTTCTACGATCTTTTACCCAGGGATCTCGATAATTGATGATGGGTATACAGGCTAGATAGTTCCCAGATTCAAGGCCAATTATATCTTTAACATCAATTATTAATCATACAGAGAAACATAGTTAGAATTAAAACTTGCAGTTTTACATAGTTTTACTGGAAACTTTTTAAATCATTATTAAAGTGAAACGGGTCGTTTACACTAAAATGCGATGTCCAATGCTCATCAGACTATTTAAAGTAACAAATTTAGTCTAAAAGTCGTCAATCTATACCGAAGTTTTCTGGCTATCACTGTAGGAAAAAATATTTTTAAAACCTACAGGTGAACAAGAAACAAATCATTAAAACATGATAAAATGGGTGTCTAAAGAGAAAAAAAATAGTGAAGACATTCATCTGTATAATCAATTTTACCCAAGTTTATGATTACCTTGCAGCTGGTTTCTTTTTCATTCGCTGTATAAAGATTAGGGAATGCTTCACGATAGACCACTTTGACCTGAAATTAAACACAATTTGTTAACATTTAAATATCTATATTGTACACGTAGAACTAATAAAAACATCGAAGTTCATCTGTTTTGGATAATTTTAGTATGTGTATTTTACGACATAAAGGAAAGTACGCGGATTTACTAGTTCACAAGAATATAATGCAAGGAAAGTTAAGTGGAGTTGAGTATACTTTGCGTACATATTGAAACCAGTTCTCTCTGGGCGGAATAGATGCCTCAGTGTTTGTTTAGTATCCGAGAAGGTAAAAAGCATTAAATTTGATAATTTTGATAGTTCACATAATAGTTTCCTATGACCAGAATATTTCACTGATTATTTTTGTGAAAAATGGATCCCATGTCAGGCTTCGACATCCGTCTTGTGTTTACATTACCGCCCAGTGACAATACACTGCATTACAAAAGATGCGCACACCTCTGAAATAACTTTCCTTGCATTAAATCCTTGCTAGTTCAGCTCTTTTCCAGCAAGCTGAGACTTCGAGCACGATAAGGCCAAAACGCAAATATATTCAAATAGAAGAAACCAGGACGCATTTCTCCATTGTAAAGTTGTAAGTCCAGGGTGTTTGATATTTGAGATCCATAGCCAAGCAAAATATAAATAACAAAGGCTAAAATCTGCAGTACGTTAAATAGATATCAATCTATGAGAAAGTTTTATCATCCTGTTCATGATTTGGAACCAAATGTTAATATATATCCTAAAGTTATATTACAAAAAAGTGTTCAAGTTTTTTTTAAAAGTGATCTCATTCGTTGTAAAGGGAAACTTTGTTTTATAAATGATCTTACTTTTTCTCCGATTTATCTTTTTCCGATTTCCTGGTTTCATGTTTTATTTGATCTCGTTCCCCTCCTCCAAGCCCAGGGACTGGTCTTGAACCTAAAAGACGACCTACAGACTTATAAATTAATTTATCAGCCGACTTTCACCAAAATTAAGTAATATTTTTTTTCTTAGTGTTTTATTGACACTTTAGAAATAGAAGTCTTTCTAATTCCTGTTATAATTATTATTGCAGTGAAAGACTAAGATTTGATTAATTTCAGAATTGAATGTCTGAGTAAGGTTAAAATAATGAGAGTAATTAAAAAAACAATAACTAAAAATATCTTTTAATTAATAATCGAATGAATTTGAGATTTTTAGTTTAGATTTCATATCAATTGCTATTTCTTTGTTTTAATTGGTTCTTACCTATAAATTTCTGACACCTGACAACAAATTTCAGTAAAATGCGCAACAGTGTCCATTTTGATTGCTGCTTTCTAGGGAACAAATCAAAATTTCAAAAAAAAGAATTATACGCGTGGTCTTGGTAAGTCAATTTAAAAAAAACTGTTGAAAATAGTCAACTAATAAAAGAGATAAATGTTGATAACTCAATTATTCTTGAGACAGACAGAGCTTTCAAGAGTTATCCTGTGAATCCGACATGAGACTCTATTAATACAGTAAATCCGACATGAGACTCTATTAATACTGGGAATACGATATGCGACTCTATTAATGCTGTGAATCCGACATGAGACTCTATTAATGCTGTGAATCCGACATGAGACTCTATAAATGCTGTGAATCCAACATGAGACTCTATTAATGTTGTGAATCCGACATGAGACTCTATTAATGTTGTTAATCCGACATGACACTCTATTAATATTGTGAATCCGACATGAGACTCTATAAATACTGTGAATCCGACATAAGACTCTATTAATGCTGTGAATCCGACATGAGACTATAAAAATGCTGTGAATCCAACATGAGACTCTATTAATGCTGTGAATCTAACATGAGACTATAAACATGCTGTGAATCCGATATGAGACTTTATTAATGCTGTGATTCCGACATGAGCCTATAAACATGCTGTGAATCCAACATGAGACTCTATAATGTTAGGAATCCGACATGAGACTCAATTAATGCTGTGAATTCGACATGAAACTTTATTATTAGTGTAAATCCGACAAGAGACTCTATTAATGCTGTGAATCCCCCATGACACTCTAGTAATTCTGTGAATCCGACATGAGACTCTATTGATATTGTGAATCCGACATGAGACTCTATTAATGCTGAGAATCCGACATAAGACTCTATTAATACTGTGAATCCGACATGAGACTATAAACATGCTGTGAATCAAACATGAGACTCTATTAATGCTGTGAATCTGACATGAGACTATAAACATGCTGTGTTTCCGACATGAGACTCTATTAATGCTGTGAATCCGACATAAGACTCTATTATTACTGTGAATCCGACATGAGACTCTAGTAATGCTGTGAATCTGACATGAGACTCTAGAAATGCTGTGAATCAGACATGAGACTATAAACATGCTGTGAATCCGACATGAGACTCTATTAATGCTGTGAATCCGACATGAGACTCTATTAATACTGTGAATCCAACATGAGACTCTATTAATACTGTGAATCCGACATAAGACTCTATTAATGCTGTGAATCCGACATGACACTCTAGTAATGCTGTGAATCCGACATGAGACTCTATAAATGCTGTGAATCAGACATGAGACTATAAACATGCTGTGAATCCGACATGAGACTCTATTAATGCTGTGAATCCGACACGAGACTCTTTTGACACTGTAAATCCAACATGAGACTCTACTAATGCTGTGAATCCGACATGAGACTCTATTAATGCTGTGAATCTGACATGCGACTCTATTAATGCTGTCAATCCGACATGAGACTCTATTGATGCTGTGAATCCGATATGAGACTATATTAATACTGTAAATCCAACATGAGACTCTTTAAATATTGGGAATCTCATATGCAATTCAATAAATACTGTGAATCCGACATGACACTTTATTATTACTCTGAATCCGATATGAGACTCTATTAATGCTGTGAATCCGACATAAGCCTCTATTAATGTTGTTTATTCGACATGAAACGCTTTTAATGCTGTGAATCCGACATTAGACTCTAGTAATACTGTGAATCCGACATAAGACTGTATTAATGCTTTGAATCCGACATGAGGCTCTAGTAATGCTGTGAATCATACATGAGACTCTATTAATGCTCTGAATCTGATATGGGTTTCTGTTAATGCTGGGAATCCGACATGAGACTCTAGTAATACTGAGAATCCGACATGACACTCTAGTAATGCTGTGAATCATACATGAGACTCTATTAATGCTGTGAATCCGACATGAGACTCTAGTAATACTGAGAATCCGACATTACACTCTAGTAATGCTGTGAATCATACATGAGACTCTATTTATACTGTGAATCCGACATGAGACTCTATTATTACTTTGAATCCGACATGAAACTCTATCAATGTTGTGAATCCGACATGAGACTCTATTATTACTGTGAATCCGTCATGAAATTCTATCAATGTTGTGAATCCGACATGAGAGATAAATGTTGATAACTCAATTATTCTTGAGACAGACAGAGCTTTCAAGAGTTATGCTGTGAATCCGACATGAAACTCTATTAATACTGTGAATCCGACATGAGACTCTATTAATACTGTGAATCCGACATGAGACTCTATTAATATTGTGAATCCGACATGAGACTCTATAAATACTGTGAACTCGACATAAGACTCTATTAATATTGTGAATCCGACATAAGACTCTATTAATATTGTGAATCCGACATAAGACTCTATTAATATTGTGAATCCGACATAAGACTCTATTAATATTGTGAATCCGACATAAGACTCTATTAATGCTGTGAATCCGACATGACACTCTATTAATATTGTGAATCCGACATAAGTCTCTATTAATATTGTGAATCTGACATAAGACTCTATTAATATTGTGAATCCGACATGAGACTCTATAAATACTGTGAATCCGACATAAGACTCTATTGATATTGTGAATCCGACATAAAACTCTATTAATATTGTGAATCCGACATGAGACTCTATAAATACTGTGAATCCGATATAAGACTCTATTAATATTGTGAATCCGACATAAGACTTTATTAATACTGTGAATCCGACATAAGACTCTATTAATATTGTGAATCCGACATAAGATTCTATTAATATTGTGAATCCGACATGAGACTCTATTATTACTGTGAATCCGACATGAGACTCTATTAATATTGTGAATCCGACATAAGACTCTATTAATATTGTGATTCCGACATAAGACTCTATTAATGCTGTGATACCGACATGAGACTCTATTAATATTGTGAATCCGACATGGGACTCTATTAATGCTGTGAATCCGACATGAGACTCTATTAATATTGTGAATCCGACATGAGACTCTATAAATACTGTGAATCCGACATAAGACTTTATTAATACTGTGAATCCGACATAAGACTCTATTAATACTGTGAATCCGACATAAGACTCTATTAATATTGTGAATCCGACATAAGACTTTATTAATACTGTGAATCCTACATAAGACTCCATTAATACTGTGAATCCGACATAAGACTCTATTAATGCTGTGAATCCAACATAAGACTCTATTAATGCTGGCGAATCACTTAAAATTACGACTTATTAGGTCCTTTAAAAAGAAAAAAATTCTTAATAGATTGATGTTTGAAATTATGATATTTTTATAAGATTATAATAAGTTAACCTTTTTAATTAATTGTTTAATTAAAAAAGTTCATGTTTTCCAAGTTTTTAATTAGGCCTCTGACTTTTTAAAAACAATTATTTTTTATTTAAAAACACGATATAGATATATTTTTAAGTTGACATTGTTACCAATTTTTTCTTTTTTTTTAATTTCATAACTTTTAAAATCCATGTTTCCACAAAATGGTTTTGTTTGTAGGAAAACATCGATATCCTGATATTTGATATTTTAATTTTAATTTTTTAATTTTCCTGTTTGAAACTGCAGAACTAAAAACTGCGAAGCAACTTTTTCTCCTTCCTCCAGCTCCCTCTGAAGGCAACTAAACAAATATTTGTTATTAAGATTGTTCAATTTTCAGATAATTTCCGTCTTTTTTGAACACTTTTATTCTTAAATTAAAGTTTCTTGTATACCCGGGATAAAGCAAATTTACCTTTAAGTCGGATTTTTGTCCACGCGGGAGAAATTTTCTCTTGACATATTTCCATTTCTGGTTTGTATCAACTGCAATAACTGTAAAAAAGTTCAATTAAAATGCTTTCCTGGATTTGTATTCTCAGGAACAATATGTATGTTTGTCTGTATAAAAAAGAGTGTATGTCAGTGTTAAGATTAAAGTAAATAGATATATGTGTACTTGAGTACAAGTGGAATTAGGTAAATGAAAATGTTAAAAACATTTATAACAGTAGATGGCGCTATAGCATGAAGTCTATGTGTACGTAGTCTATGAAAGCTAGCCCAAGCTGGAAATGGGGAAAAGGTGGTCGGGGGTTATAAACTCTATATATCTCTATTGGTTTAAGAGCCCAGAGCTGGACCTTTATCTCGAAACACTAAATACAATTTAAAGTGGACCCAATCTAGTTTGAGCCGCGTCTCAAATTCTTTAAATTTCATGCTCAGTTTTACTTGCATGTATAGTGTAGGTATGTAGAATCATACGAATCTTTGTTTTTTTTATTTACATTTCCAAATATAAAAATATTTAGCCACATTTCTTCAGTGAAAAGAAGAGCACAGACACCATTTATTCCGTAGTTTTCTGGTTCTCACTGTTTTAATGCCGTTCATTATGTAACTTACCGTTCGATGAAGCCATTGATCAATATCTAATCTGCTTTTTCTAAAATTAATTAGGTCTTGAACTCTCCGATTTATCTTGATTGTAGTGGTGGGCAAGTATCAAACTTTTTATGTTTTTGGTTCATTAAGTTTTGATTACAAAGATGCCGAATTTAAAGAATTTGGGCCACGTCTTCAATTTGAGACGCGGCTCAAACATAGTTGGTTCCCCTGAAAATGTATTCATTGTTACGATATTTGAGCTGGCGCTCAACTGGAACTGGTTTTTGCCGGTTCAGCGACGTGGTTTTAATTCCCTAAATTCGGTCTCAGCTATATTCGATCAGATGCTTATTATGACTACCATATTCCAGGTCAATAAAAATAAGATTCTTCTTCATGTTACATTTTTTTAAAGTAGCAACATTTGGCAACAATTCCTTTATATTGTTTGTTGACCCTATCACGATTTGGGGGGGGGGAAGGTGAATCCCCCCCCCTCGTGTTTTTTCTAAATTACTTAAAAACGGCTTACATTCGAACGTTCGAACTTAAAATTACGCATACAGTCCCTTTAAAAGTCAAGAAATTTCAAACAAGGATGGGTAAATAAACTGATACACTGCACCCCAGTCTTTTAATGCTTAAACTTCTAATAAATATTTTTTCATATTTATTTCTGATTTTATATTGAAAGAGTATCCAGCCCTAGGTGGGTTTGTTGTTGAGAAAGGAACTTATTCAATATTTAATTAAACAGTCAGGATTAAAAACTAGATTTATCTTTTTCATCAAATTTGTGATTATCCTAGAACACACATCATAAGGATTCATTCACTTTTAATTTTATTAAGGGATAATATTAAATTTAAAGGGACTGAGTGTGGATATTATTAAATTTAAAGGGACTGAGTGTGGATATAATTAAATTTAAAGGGACTGAGTGTGGATATTATAGGGACTGAGTGTGGATATTATTAAATTTAAAGGGACTGAGTGTGGATATTATCAAATTTAAGGGGACTGAGTGTGGATATTATTAAATTTAAAGGGACTCAGTGTGGATATTATCAAATTTAAAGAGACTGTGTGTCTATATTATTAGATTTTAAGGGGCTGAGTGTGGAAATTATCAAATCTAAAGGGGCTGAGTGTGGATATTATCAAATTTAAAGGGACTGAGTGTGGATATTATTAAATTTAAAGGGACTGAGTGTGGATATTATTAAATTTAAAGGGACTGAGTGTGAATATTATTAAATTTAAAGGGACTGAGTGTGGATATTGTTAAATTTTTTAATAATAATAATAATAATTTTAAAGGGACTGAGTAGAACATGTCATCAATCTAAAACTGAGGGGTTTATTTAAAATTACATGTACAGTCCCTTTCAACCAAGGGCTCTATAACCTGGCTGCTCCTCTTCTAAAAGTTCTTCTTCAATGCTGAGGTTTTGTCGACTGTTAACTGACCATTTTAACATCTTTGCCTGACATATTCATAATTTGATTTGAAATTATTATAAAAACATGATATCATTTTTATCCCAGAATCTATATAAACGGCTGAACCGATCGTGCTTAAATTTTGTGTGTGACCTCACGTGATCCCAGGGGAGGTTTATGAATGATCAAAACTTAAAAAAATTTGTTTAAAAGTTTTCTATTTTGAAAAATTTAGATAATCCGTGAAAAAATATTGTGAAATCTGCAAAACTTCTTATTTTATTTTTTACACTGTACAAAGAGAGATGCTCACAGATAAAGTCACAATTAAAAGTTGAAATAGAAGATGGGCGCAATTCTGTTTGTCTGGGTGTCTGTCTGTTTGTTTGTATCCATAAACGTCAATGTCCCCAGGGAAGGTTTATAAATGATAAAATTTCAAATATTTTCCTACAAAATTTCGATTGTCATTAAATAAAGCAATCCACGAAATTATTTTGTAAACTCCGCAAACTTTTTGTTTTTTATTTACAATGTATACAAAGAGAATATGTTCACAATTGAAATAGAAGATGGGCGCGAAGCGCCATAAAGCTAAGTTACAACAAAACGACTAGCACAAGAACACTCATACTTCCTGACATATATGTAAAGTAGAAAGCTCTATTTGTATGTTTTTTTGTCCGATCATAACTCATGAACCCCTTGACCTATTTAAGTGAGCCTACTTTTTATAGGGGAAAACATCTAAAATCTAAATATACGACTAAGCGTGGGTAAACGGCACGCGGAGTGAGTAACTATAGAGTACCCTGAGCAACCATGGGTTTTCAAGCCAGTCTATAAACAAAGTAGTAATCTCTGTTGGTCTGTTTGTTTAGATGCCCGATCATAATTTTGAAATCTCTTGACTGATTTGCCTCAAATTTTGATCGGGGAACTGCAGATAGATGCCCGGGAATGTTCTTAGCTTGGTTTAAAAATTTTAAGTTGATTTGTTTGGACTTTATAGGAACACTTCAGACAAAGCTACAAAACTTATAACTAAATCTAAAAAGCAATATAATTTTAACAATTAAGGTAACGGCCCAAAATTTACATTTTTGAAAAGTTGTTAAAAACATATTTTTCTTATGAATATCTTTAAGGCATATCTTTAGCAAATGGTTTGAATTTTATTTGTTTGATTTATAAAATAAACTTAAGTTAAAAAGTTCCCTATCTCAATAAAAATACTGATTATTTCACTGTAGGATTTGAAATAGTACAAAGGATCGTAATTAGACAAAACACCCTTGATTTCTAAGAGGATTTTTTAGCACTTTTTTTATTCCCTTCAATTCNTCGCTGCTTTTCCTCTCTAAGAAAAAAATAATCTTTGAAATCAAAAACTTTGTTTTAGATGCAAACTTGTGTTCTCTCTTCTCCGGGTTCTTCATTTGACTAGAATATTTTTTCTCTTGGTGGTTCTCAGCTTTACAGCCTCCGCTCCTTTTTGGTTCTCTTCTTTCTTCAAATCCCTTTTTTCCTATTCGTTTAAATTCTTTCTTTAAATCCCATTTTCCTTTTCATTTCTTTTATTTATTTAAATCACTTTTTCCTTTTGGTTTCCATTCTTTCTTTAAATCCCCTTTTCCTTTTCGTTTCTAGTCTTTCTTTAAATCCATTTTTCCTTTTCATTCCCATTCTTTCTTTAAATTCCCTTTTTCTTTTCGTTTCTATTCTTTCTTTAAATTCCTTTTTCCTTTTTGTTTTTATTCTTTCTTTGAATCCCTTTTTCCTTTTCATTTCTTTTATTTCTTAAAGTCACCTTTTACTTGTCGTTTCTATTCTTTCTTTAAATCACTTTTTCCTTTTCGTTTCAATTCTTTCTTTAAATCCTCTTTTCCTTCTCGTTTAATATCTTATTTTTAAACCCCCTGTTCCTTTTTATTTATTATACTTCTTTAAATCCCTTTTTCCTTTTCGTTAAAATTCTTTCTTTGTATCGTTTTCCTTAGTTTAAATTCTTTATCTATATATAAATTTGGCTTGTCTTTTTGTCTGTCTGTTTGTTTGTTTGTTTGTTTGTTTGTATCCAATAAACGTCAAAACGGCTGAACCGATCGGGCCCAAATTTTTTGTGGGACATCACGTGACCACAGGAAAGGGTTATGAATGATAAAAAATTTTAAAAATTTAAAAAGATAAATCCTTGAAAATCCGCGATTTTTTTTTTAAAATCCACAACATTTTTTTCTTCTTTGTTTTAAAATGTAAACAAAAAGAACAATTTAACTAAAAGATGGGCGCGAAGCGCCCTAAAAGCCTTGTTTGTTTAAATTTTTCTTATCGATTGTAATAATATTTTGCATTTCTTTTTATTTTCATTCATATTATTTCTTTTTATCTCTTGCTTCCTTTATATTCTTGCTTTGTATCTGTTTTTCTTATCGTTTACGTTTTCTTTTTAATGCTTTTTTCTTCCTATAATTGTTTTATCTCTTTTATTTCTAAAATCGTTTTTAATCGTTTTTTATTTTCCCTCCATTTTTTTCTATTTTTCTTTTTTTCCTTAAATAAATTTTCCCTCCTTTTCACTGCATTCTTAAATACTTTAGTTTCTCTTTTTTATCGTTTAAATTATTTTTTTGTTAATTTTTAGTCTTCTCTCAATCTTACTTTTATTCTTAATATCTTAATTTGTTTCCTTCCTTCCTCTTTTACGTTTAATCCCCCCTTGTTCCTCTTTCAATATTTTTCTTTACCTACAGGGTGTCCCAATAAACATAGGAATTCAGTGACGAATTCGATATCGTCTTTTCAAATAATTCTTTGATTTAGTTTAGTGATACCTACTGAGAAAGCTGTAATCCGCAAGGTTTTCGTCTGCTATGTTCACATTTTGTTTGTTTATGTTTTGACTGCATACGGTTGTACTTAGTGAAACAAGAAAATTGAAGTATACAAACAGAGTAAACTTGTCTGTCTTCACTGTTCATCTTGCGGAGACATTATAGAGACATCATTACAGTCTTTTACCCTTTTTATTAAATAAACTCTAGCAGACATAATAATAGTATGGCTTTTTAAATTAGGTATTATAATGCTAATTCATAACAAAGACGATATCAAATTCGTCACTGAATTCCCATGTTTTTTGGAACACCCTGTAACAAAAATGGGAATTCGTAAATGATTTCCGATGATAAAATGTTATTTGTATTTTTTTTTGCATTTTTGAAACCGACGGAAATGTTTAAACATTAAAAAATTTCATTTAAGCAATCTTCTGTGTTTTTAATGTTCTTATAAATTAAAGGGTTTCACTCATAGATAAAGATAGATTGCGCATAAGACGACATTTTTCATCTTGAAAGATATAAATGTACAGAGATGTTTTAAGGATATTCCTACTATATAGATTAACTAGTTCGGTTGTGAACATTGGCTGTTCTTATGTCATTGAGTACTTGTGGTGTACATGAGTTCTGTAGAGAGAAATTTAAGTTAGTTTAGTCCTTCTCATGTCCTTCTTCAGTTCTCGTCATTATGATATATTGCTCAGTGAAATAATTTGATATTCTCAAAATAAAATTCACTCCTGAGTGGTTTAGTAATTATGAAATCCATTAAAACACCAAACCACCCCGCTTATCATTGAAGTACACTTTGACCCCTAAGCCCGAAATTTAAAAGAGTATTGTTGAACGAAACTCCCGAGTTTCCTTTTTGGGGTCTTAACATTTGTGTAGATTTTGATTTAAGAGATTCGAAAAAAATGGAGAATATAAGCAAAGTGAAAAAAATAATATTTTATTACAAAAATATTGATATTCACAAAACTGCCTAACCCCATTTGTGAAACCCGGGTTTTAAAACTGGTTTTCATAACGATACCCTGTCTTAAGTTTTGGGCTCTAGAAGTATGAGTTCGCGGACTGTACAATTCTTGGTGATTGTGCGTACATAAGCTATCTATGTTTATTTATTTATCTATGGTTTCACCATTTTATTGTTGCAAATCTCATGACCTTAAGACCACATGACAATGCACAAATTAAAAATGTTGACTTACAGAGTACCATTAATAAGCTAAAATGATCAATAAGAATGAAAGTACGCCTAGCATTGATAAAAATAAATTGAGAAGAATATGATAAAGATTGCATATAATGATATAACTTTGAATAGAGGGAAAATATAGTATTGTTGAAACTTAGGCGGGGCGTTGATAATTAGATGTTAGGTTGGCTTGTTGGTTAATTGGCTTGTTGGTTCATTGGTTAGTTAGT